CGGCGGCCCCCCGCCAGTCTGGCAGTGGCCTGTGTATGTTTTGTGATACACTGTTCTGATTTTCAAGAGAGTTTCTCGATCTTATATTATTATATTATGAAGCTTAAGAGTTGTTTTACACCTGGGATGATGGTGAACACCAGATATGAATATGTACACCGAGATATTACACGTATACTTAGTTTATGTTATTTTGACACATGTTGAGTTAATGAAAGTGAATTAATAAATATATACTAATATACTACTATTAATATATATCATTATGAGTATATTATATAAAGTAATTATAAAATACTAAATATTAATAAATATATATCTATATTATATATTATATATAATAAGTATTGTCATTAGTATGATCTCCGTGTGGATGTTATCCCATAATGAGATTTCGGTTGTACCACACAACTCTAAAGTTTTGATGTTTTCCCGTAACGAACATTGGTTTACCAACTACTCGATATGATGTGTAGTTTTCCGGGTTGGGCTGAGGTGCCTATTCCAGCCGTTGTACGATTTATCTGGAGAAGGCATATCCAGAACTAAGGAGATAAACCCTATTACCAATAAGCGCCAGATCTAATGAGCATATCGAAAATCGAGAGAAAAATCTATGTTTCCGTGAAGCATGATTGAGTAAGGATGGTTGTATCCTATATCCCGCAATATGTATCATATCGTCGGCCGTCTACAAAAGTAGTTGTTATTTATATATGGCCCGAAAGGAGATGAAAACTATTACCTAGAGCATGATATATATATATATAAATATAATATCATTATATATCTTATTAATATATATCTATATACATATAATATTATACTATATATATATTATATATATATATAATAATAATTCATCTAATACTGAGAAAACTGGGGAAGCGCATGGCCAGCCTCCCTGTACGCGCTGGTAAAGAAAAAAAAAGAACAAGGCAAGGGCTTGTTCTGAAAAAACGACGCGATCATCTCTCTCACAAAAGCGCTTCTCTCAAAGAAGCCCACTTTCAGACCCCAAAATTGAAGCTCCATCCTTCATCCCTCCAAAACCCCAAATCCTCACTCTCGATTCTCCAACAGCCGGACCGCTAGTCTCCGCCACCCGAATGCCTCCCGAAACAGCCGAGCCGGGCACCGCTCATCGATCTCATCTCCGAGATCCTAACCTCGCCAACGCGATCCGAGATCGCGTCCCCGCCTCCGACCATCCAACAAATCCAACTCGAACAACATCCCGCCACCGCCGCCCAATCCGTCGATGTGTTATAGCCTGTCGATGCCATTCCTACATGCACCCGTGGAACACCCAAATGCCCTGTCTTCGACACGTCTCGGCCACGACCCCTGACTCTCGCCCCTAACACCAGCCTCGACTCCTCTACGACACCGCCGCCGCCCCTGAGTATCGCCCCCAACCCCAGCCCCGACTCCGACACGGTAGGTGAATCAGCTCCTTTCACTGCCGATCACTACAATTTCTGTCTATCTGTAAAAATCTCCTTTTCATTCTTGCTTGAATCACGATTGATCTTGGACTTGATGTGAATCACGATTGATCTTGGACTTAATGTGTGCTTTGATGTGTGCTTTATATAGTGGTTCCTGTTGTTTGAATAATTAACAGAGGCAGATGTAGAATTATTTGGGTGCTTTTGTTTTTAGTTTTTAATGAAAGCTTCCACTGGTTTGCATTTCTATAGCTAATTTACTCACTTCTTTGCTATGGTCTAGTTTCTGGTGTCTGCAGATTTGAGCTGGTGTCTACAGATTTATTGTAAAAATCGAATAGACTAGTTGAATTGGTCTTCCTTGTTTCTGCAGTTTTGAACTGGTGTCTGCAGATTCGAATAGATTTATTGTAAATATTGCAGTCTATTCGATTTTTACAATAAGTTTGCTTCCACTAGTTTTTAAAAATCGAATAGACTGCAATATTTTGCTTCCACTAGTTTGTAAAAATCTAATAGTTTGCTTCCACTAGTTTGTAAAAATCGAATAGACTGCAATATTAATTGGTCTTCCTTGTTTCGCATTAGCTGTTGAGGGTATGAACTCGTCAATTGAGAATGATTTGTAGATGGTTATGTTAGTTGCCCTGCAATGTTTCTCTTCATTGAGATTTATGATTTGTAGATGGTTATGTTAGTTGCAATGTGATTGAAGCTTCCTTTTTTCCTTTTCATTCTTCTCTTTTTGTAAGTTGTGGACATCTGCAGGAAGTTTTCCTACTTATTGATTTATTTTATAACTGTAAATGATTTTAGCCTGGTTATGTAAGTTGGGGACATCAAGAGTCGTCTGTAGTTGGTTATGAACACTTGAGTTCCAAGTACAACCTGTTCATTAGAAACTTGCATTTAGGATGCTAAAAATTAAATTCAACTTCCATGCCACTTATATACCATATACCAGGTAATGCAAACATATGACGCAAATTACCAATAGAACAAAGGAGTTGCTGAAGCTGATTGAGCAATAAGAAATAAGAAATTTAGGCCTGTGCAAGCAAAATATTGTAAAGCATAAACATCTTATTTCACTCCTAATTGGTGTCAAGGTCTATATATTAACTGTTACTAGTCTCTTGCTGCAGAGAAAAAGATTGAGGAGCTACACAAGAAGAAGGCATGTGCAAGCTGTTGCTGTGGGGTTGGAGATTATAATGTTTCTGAGATTAACATATTTGTAATGTGATCAAATATCAACTTGTGTGATCATTTATGTAATATTCTGTGGTTTGTGTATTTTGTGTATAAGACCATAGTTTGATGTGGGGATTTTGTTGAGCAGTGGTCTTATGTGATCATATATGTAATATTCGCTGATATCATACTATTGTAATGGAGGTGCACGTATGTGCCAATGAAGAAGGATGAACTGAACTCCTTTATTATCCTTCCCTTTACAGTGTTCTATATTGGTTGTAGGTTCTATATTGTAAAGAAAGGAAGAATATATTGGTTGTAGGTTCTATATTGTAAAGAAAGGAAGAATATATTGGTTGTAGGTTCTATATTGTAAAGAAAGGAAGAATATATTGGTTGTAGGTTCTATATTGTAAAGAAAGGAAGAAACGCTTAATATACGACTGACTGTTGCCACATTAACAGAGGCTGAGATTGACCCACAGGATACAATATTACTTTACATGATATATTACAAGTAGTAGTATATCACCATCTCATTGTACAGAAGGATAGATACAAAAACAGACAATCCTTGTTCAACGATGGTAAACCGACGCTCTAATTTACAATGACAAAATGTTAATGTGCAGGTTTTTCCAACTTCTCCTATTGATGATAGGAGCTCATTCCTGTTCCCACCACCACATATTTGCTCTAACGCAACGGTTTAAAACCGTTGCGCTAGCCATGGAACCGTCGCCCTTGAGCAAGTGCGACGGTTCTCAAACCGCCTCATATGCTGCCGTTGCCCTACCTCTACCGTAACGGTTTTGAACTCTATTGCGACGGTTTTTTGAACCGTTGCCCCCGCATCTAACACAACGGTTTTAAAAGGTAAGCGGTTTTTAAGCCATTGCAACGGTTTTAATTGAGCTATTGCGAGAGTTTTTAAGCTATTGCAGCGGTTTTGATTGAGCTATTGCGATAGTTTTCAAGCTACTGCAGTGGTTTTTTTAGATATTACAATAGTTTTAAAAAACCTAACGCAATGGTTTTAGTAGGCTAAAGCTATGGTTTTGATAGAGCTACGGCAACAGTTGGAGCTATTGCAACAGTTTTAAAAGACCTAACGCAACGGTTTTAGTAGGCTATAAGTATGGTTTTGATAAAGCTACGGCGACAGTTGGAGCTATTGCAACAGTTTTAAAAGACCAAAAGCAACAGTTTGGATTGAGCTATCGCAATAGTTTGGATCGAGCTATCGCAGCGGTTTTGATCGAGCTATCGCAACGGTTTTAATCAAGCTATTGCAACTGCTCAATCGAAGCTATTCTTGGTTTCCTACGTCAAAATAATTATAGTATTCAATTACCTGGATAATCTTTTTAAGAACATGGCCAAGTCAAATTTTAATACACAATATAAAAGTGATTATGTTGAGCATAATCAACCATAATGATAAGTGCCAACATACATCAGTATAGTATAAAAACTACAAAGTATTAAATCCACACTACCAACATTTCAACTCAGAAAATATCGTACCGAACTAACCCCATAAACCAAAACTGACAAACCCTATAAACCAAAACTCAAAATCATCAACTGTCACAATCTGCACATACTTTTGGTTAGTCACAATCTGCACATACTTTTGGTTAGACTTATTCACGTTCTCACTTAGACTAACTTTCTTTATCATTCTCAATGGGATTGAAACTTTATAAGTAACTCTGATCAAATCTCCGTTAGGAGAAGTGCATGTTGTTGATAGATAACAACACGTAACAACATAACAACCGAAGCCAATAAATTACATCACAAGCCAATAAATTACATCTCCCTCCTCTTCCCCATCAGAAGCCAATAAATTACATCAGAAGCCAATACATAACAACTGAAGCCAAAAAATTACATCAGAAGCCAATAAATTTTAGAAATGCAACAGGTCTTAATAAAAGAAACTGAAAGGTGCTGTACACGCCTTCTCTTCACAAACCAGGTCTTGCTCTCTGCATCAAAACATTGACTGTAGAATTAAATGCCCATTGAGAAACCATTGAGTTTTGGTTGTAATAGTTAGAACTCGTTATTTTGATGATTTGGTTTGAATTGCCTTTAGTAATCTCTTTTAGAAACCAAAAAAATTCCCTCACGGAGCTTTTCTCATCTCCCTCCTCTTCCCCATCTCCATGGCCATCATCATTCTCGTGATGGGCGTGATCGATCTCTTGAACAACCACAGCAGCCTCCTCCTCCTCCTCCTCTTTCTTCTTCATCTTCATCGCCTTCTTCTTGCTTTTTCCTCTGTCGTCCTTCTTCTTTGAGCATCTCAAGGCTGTCTCCTCTTCTTCAAAGGCGTCGAGGATCGTGTGGATAACATGGTGGTTGGGCAAGGTGTCCCAGCGGGCCCGGAAGCTCTTGTAGCAAATGAAGCAGGAGCAGCCCAAGTCCAGCGGCTGGTCCTGATTGTCGTGGTTTTGGTTCTGATCCTGATTTTTGTTGGTCCTCCGCTGATGGATGTGAGAGGTGAGGAGGTAGGAGCAGACCAGCTGGTCGTCGGGGGAGATGGAGGAAGGTGGAGAGGGGTTGATGGGGCATGGGGGGAGAGAGAGATCGGAAATTTTGGGGGAAAGAGAGAACGCTGGAGGAGGAAGGCTCTTGGAGGGGGGAGAGAGATCGAAAATTTTGGGGGAAGGAGAGAACGCTGATTTTGAGGGATGTGAAGGGGGTTGGGTCACGAGAGAGAGATTACTTTTTTATAAAAGATTCATGCACTTTTACAAATCCCCCCTTGCAGTTCACG